TGTGACCCTGGAGCACAAAAGCAGTCTTAAGTCGCTGGGGTATGTATTGTTGGCTATTGCTACAAATATACCCCAGCGACTTAAGACTGCTTTTGTGCTCCAGGGTCACATTCATGTTCACATTCATTCAAGCAGATCCAAAATGCAAGAAAAATCTAGTTCAAAATCAGTGTTTCCGCAGTTATTAACTGAATGATCATTAGTGTATGATATTTCAGAATTTGTATTAAAAATAAAAGCATTTTGATATAGGATAATAAACGTCATTAAGTGGTGAGACAAATTAATCAGTCAATCGACGGTTTGAGATGATCCACCCAAGTCAGCAGCCAGAACTCAGCAGCTCTAATTCCATCTTTGTTCATTTTACATTGAAAATCACTGAAATACATGCTAAATTTAAAATGAACATAGATGGCATTAGAGCTGCTGAGTTCAATTCATTTAGGTGAATCGGTTCAAACTGTCCAATGAACGATTTATTTATTCACCACTTACTAATGTCAATTTTGTCTTGCGATTTCAATTAATCACCATTGAAAATGATTGTAATACATGTTAAATGTTAATTCACTGAAATCACCTGACAAAAACAACAATTTTAAGTGGTGACAAATTAATCATTAAATCAGTCATTTTGTTTAAATTTAAAATGGCCAAAGGTGGCGTAAGAGTTCTTTTTGGTGAATCAGTTGTTTTTGACTAGTGATTTCAAATAATCAACATTGAAAATCATTACATTACATTTGAAATGAACAAAGATGGCGTTAAAGCTGGTGAGTTTAATTGATAACCATGAATTGATTCAAACTGTTTTAAAATGTATTTGCAATGATTTTCAATGCTGAACCAGTTGACCAATATGAGTTTTTCCATGAATAATGCAGATATGAAAAATCCAAATAATAGCTGAACGTCCAGCATGACAAAGGTCACAAACTACATATATATAATTGAAACCGAGTTATGATATATGAAGTAAAAAGAGTGAAACAGCACAATAAATCAGAGCATGACCAAACGGACACCATCCTGCCAAGATACATGTGTAAATCCAGGCATAAATGGTGTGTAGGACAGAGAGCTGATGGTACCCAGATCTTGATGCTCGGTCCTGTGGCGGCACACAGCCAGTATCTGTTGGGACTGAAGCAGAGCGCGTTGATGACGTCACCGCTGTCCAGCGTGTACAGATGCTTGCCTTCGTTCAGATCCCAGAGCATGGCCTGTCCGTCCTGAACACAGAGACACAGAGAACGTCAAAGCACCATCCTAACGAGAAAGTCATCTAGCATAACGAGGACACAGAGCTGCAGGAAATGATGCAAAAATTCAAGATCAGTCATTGTTCTGTCCTTTATCACTAGTCACATTTTTAGATGCCACAGACCAGTATTATATTAGAATTATTGATAAACCATTATAACTTTTGTTAACAATTTTAATTATATTAATATTTTTAGAAATATGATTTATTTTTTCGGTTTTCATTTTAATTTTTTATAATTTTGTTGTTTCTGCCATTTTTATATACATGTCTGTATTGTTTTTTTATTAAGATGTAGTTATGATTTTTTTAATATCCCAACTTTAAATAAACAAAAATGAGTGTTATTGTATAATAAAGTATTATTTTAGTTCAATTTTTTTTTCCAAGTAATATTTTTTTTCTTTTAATAGTATTAGTTTTAGCTAATAAGGGATACCCATCCTAAAATGTAAAAAGCACTTTATACATTTTCATGTATAAAGACTTTTTTTTTTCTCCTATGAACTATTTTTATTGACTCCATAGTACTCCCTTGCGGGCCCCAATTTGAAATCCTGGTCTATATGATTTTCTGCAAGAAACACATCCTATGTTCATACATTGACCCTAAAACAGTGAAACCGACCTTTCCACCAGAGGCACAGAGCGATCCATCAGGGGAGACGGTGACGGTGTTCAGGAAGCCGTTGTGTCCGATGTGATTGGTCTTCAGCTTACAGTTGGCCAGATTCCACACCTGAAAGAGACAAAACACTACGAGTGAAAAGATTGTCCATACTTACGTTCAGTGCTTAATTTGTAAATGAAACATTGCCGGATCCAAATCAGCAGTTAAAAGGCGCCGTGACCGACGCTGACAATACAACTTCAGTTTTCCCGGAACATTCAATGACGTCACTAAACGGTGATGACACAACTATAAGAGCATCGTTCTCAAGTTTCTGCATTGACCTAACCATAGCCTAGGTTTTCAAACCCTGGGTCAAAAATGGGTCGTCAGGATGATTTAAGGCAAATATATGCAAGTTACATTACAAATAACCAAATTTGTTTCCATAAAAATAAAATACAATCTATATAGAAATGGTATAAATAAGCAAAATATATCTGACATAAATAATTAACAGATATAAAACGATCCGCAAACAAGTTAACGGAAAGGAAACCGAGAACCGAGATGACAGAACGCGCATCCCGTTTGTTTGCTTAATTACAAAAACACAAACGTTCTTTTCATTGCGAGTGTGCAAAAATACAAGTAAACATTTACATTTAGCAGACGCTTTTATAAATAAATAAAAAGAAAACAGACAGAATAGAATAAGAATAGAGCATTCTAGTGTTAGAGGCCTTTTTTGCTTTTGTTAATTGTATAATAAATAAAAAGAAAAGAAATAGATAGAATACAAAAAGAATAGAGAAGCTAGTGTTCGTTTTTTTATTATTATACATTTTTTTAACACTTTGCGGATTGTCTTACTCTTATCTGTATGACCAAAAATGGAGTACTATTTAATGTGTCAGCTGTTTGATCGCGCCGGTGCCTCGCGCACACACACACACACACACATCTGGTTTGCTATCCTTGTGGGGACTCTCCATAGGCGTAATGGTTTTTATACTGTACAAACTGTATAATAGTTTAACATTGAAATACATTGCGAATATGGAAACATTTGGATTTGTGCCGAATGAGAGAGGTACGAGAGCCCAACGGTACTTTCAGTTTCGCTTTGGTTTGGTTTCTAGCTTTATATTTTTATTTCCATTCTTGATCTGTTCTGCATACCGTTACATATAAAAGATTTGTTTTGGAGTGAGGGGAACTAGGCTATGATTATAGTGTTTATAATGTTTATACATTATAATATTTCACTTTATTTGGTATTATTTCTGGTATTATTACACACTCTCCAAACGTTCCGCTGCTCACAAAAGAGTGGCGAGAGTAGGTTAAGCAGTAGCACCAATCAACGAGAGCGATTTTGAATTTAAGAAAGCAGATTGGTCAATAATATGTTGAGGACCAATACATAATCTACAAATCATGCTCCAAATACATATGCATAAACCCACAATCACTCTGTCTCGTATGCACGCGCACGCACTGTCACGATCTAACGCACTTGTTAATGCCGGATCTTTAAAAACAAATACCGGAACGCAAAAATCCAAAATCTGACATTTTCCGGAACAGGATCCGGCTCAAATTAAGCACTGCTTACATTCCTCAAGAACCTATGAAAACATGTTGATTTAGAGGCTGATGTTTACATGCTTGAGTTTGATGTTGTAGAAAAAAAGAAAAGAAAAAAAAAAAGCATTTATATGTATGTGTCTAACGACAGTTAGTCCACAGAGCTGACCTGTCAATCTCTCTTGATTTCAGAACCTAAACATTAGGTGCATTCTGACCAATCAGAGGACAGTTTACTCATGTGACTTGAATACATACATTTTGGAATGTTACCAAGGAGAAAACGCAACATTGTAACAATTTAAGTCATTGTTTCAAGTGAAAACGCCCTTAAACTCCACTCAGCTCTCACCTTGACCATCTGATTTAGAGGCTGATGTTTACATGCTTGAGTTTGATGTTGTAGAAAAAAAGAAAAGAAAAAAAAAAAAAGCATTTATATGTATGTGTCTAACGACAGTTAGTCCACAGAGCTGACCTGTCAATCTCTCTTGATTTCAGAACCTAAACATTAGGTGCATTCTGACCAATCAGAGGACAGTTTACTCATGTGACTTGAATACATACATTTTGGAATGTTACCAAGGAGAAAACGACACATTGTAACAATTTAAGTCATTGTTTCAGAACAAAGCAAGTGAAAACGCCCTTAAACTCCACTCAGCTCTCACCTTGACCATCTTGTCCCAGCCGCAGGAGACGATGATGGGGTTACTGCTGTTGGGAGAGAAACGCACGCAGGAAACCCACTCAGTGTGACTCTCGTCCTGAGGAACAACACAAACATCTCAGCTCAGACTTTAACCCTTAAACCACCTGGCATATCAAATAATAGTCTGTTTTTGGAATCATTATTGAAACTTTAGACAAAATATAAACAAGTTTGCATGTGTGTTTTTGTTGAGTATCATATTTGATCCATCAGGCTTTTATGGCTCATGTAGCAGGATTTCATGAGAATAAGGAGGAAAGAGCAGCTCAGTTTTAGAGGCCCAAACTGAGCAAAAATATGCAATTTGGTGCAGATGATGATATTTATGCGGACAAAAAGTGATGAAATTCTGATGCTTGTAATGTAAATTAATGAGCTCTTTATAACAGTACAGCAGATACTGACATACACTGATCTAAATATCAGTCGTCACTCTATATCTCCAATAATAAGATGAGATTGAAATGATCCAAACATATAATGCAGTGATTGAGAGCTGAAGAAATAAAGGCTCCTCAGAAGATGTGAGATGTTCTGGAGGCTTGTGAAGATCATTCCTCCGCTGAGGAACAGTGAAAGTAAAGCTTCTGGAAACAAACGCTCCTCAAAAGATCCTGATGATCAGATTTGAGACGCACTGATTTTTCTAAAAAAAATGATTGATGGAGAATCAAGTAAAGCCGAGCTGCTTCAGTCCAGTAAGTGTCTTCTGGAAAGTTATTCTTGCATTTACTTGATAAAAATCAGTAAGGATTTGACAGCAGAAAGACACGTGAAGCACCAGCTGAAGCTGGACATTTGTCCAATCACACTTAAAGACATTCTACTTGTTAAAAGGCCTAAACAATCAATCAGACAACAGAAAACATGGAGTGCATTGTGTGTGACTGGTTTATCAGCAACATTTTGAGCATGTTAGAAACATGCATATCAAATATGACACAGTAGGATTTATAAGTTTAATCACTTTAAGACGAGATCAGCACTAGATATCACTGCTAAAACAGCCTCATTTTCAGCAAACCCCAGCTCTCACCTGAATGGAGTACTTGCAGACACCCAGCGTGTTCCACAGCTTGATGGTTTTGTCCCGAGAGCCGGACACGATCTGCCGGTTATCAGCGGAGAAGGCCACGCTCAGCACGTCTTTGGTGTGGCCCACAAACCGACGGGTCGTGGTTCCTCTACAAACAACATTCGAAGAGTAAAGTGAGTTTGAGCTTAGGGCTGCACAATTAATCGAAATTAAATCGCAAAGGCAATAAATCACGATTAGTTGTAAAATATATCTAATTAAAATAATCGTGTGTGTGTACATATACACATACACGTTTTTTAAGAATTATTTTTATTTTACAACATAAAACATTCAACATATAATTGAATCTTAAAGCTGCCATTTTTTAAATAATAGTGGGTATATATCTTTTTTCATTAAAATTTAAAATTAAGACATTTTATTTTACAACAAAAATCATTCACCATATGAATTAATTTTGAAGCTGCCATTTGTTAAATAATAATTACAATCATATATGAATAACAAGAATAAGACTTCAAAATAAAGAGTCTCAAAACATTAAAAATATATTAAAACATAAAAACAAAATGAAGGTTTCATTGATTGCAGTCACAATCATCTGAAAACATTGTATATTTAGTAAGGAAGGGACCATTATTCTTTATTAGATTAAAATGTAACTTATTTATTACCAAGAACATGGTATCACAGTATTACCATGGTATTTCTTAAAGTGCTTTGGACTGCCACGGAAATACCATGGTAAATTATGTTTCTGCACCATGGTGTTATTATGGTGATAACGCCAGACAGCTGCAGAAGCTGCGCGAGACAAACAGATTCATCCGTCACCTCTGGACGCGGACAGAATCATGTCCGGAAACTGCGGCGTCGTGGCGATCTGGGTCACCCAGCCGTTGTGGCCCTTCAGGGTCCCTCTCACGGTCATCTGCTCGGTCATCTCGGCGGTCGGTCCCGGTCGATGGCTGTAGATTGAGTCGGATGGGCTGAAGAGCCGCTGTACTCAACTTTACAGCGCAGGAAAAGGACCGGATCCACGGCGGAAGTACATATTCATGACTGAGCGACGGCGCAGTGCATTGTGGGAGCTGTAGTCCGGATGCAGCTGCTTGACGGGGTGTTTTTTTTTTTTACTCAGTTTTGGAATAGGATTTAAAAATAATAATGATAACAATAATATATCAATGAAACATATTACAAAATTATAATAATAATCATCATGACAAATTTCGCTTTTGTTGACAGCAGTCAAAATCATCAGAAAACAAAGTACATGCATTTCTACTATTATATGACATTTAAAACTCTTTGGTAATGTTTCGTGTGTCCACATTTTATCGACTCTTATTTTCGTGTCTTCCGCTTGAGTGAGAAAAACGGACAGAAAAATATTAGTTTTTGTTTCCGCCCGGTTTCGAACCGGGGACCTTTCGCGTGTGAGGCGAACGTGATAACCACTACACTACGGAAACCATCATGTGGCGATTCTATGTCATTAAATAAGTACTGATTGGCGTGTCTGACAACCTATACTCTGTGACAACGATGGAAAAATCTTTTTTTTTTTATGTATTCTTTTTTTTTAATAATTGTAAAAATCATATTTATAGTTTATTTTCATTTATTTTATTTATACAGTATCATTTCTGTTTCTTGAAAAGAAAAAAGTAAATAGTGAAATTCACATTTCGAACAAATGTCCACAAGGTGTCGCTCAAGATCAACAGCGGCTCCCAAAAAAATTTTGGACGCTTCATTCACAAAAAAAAATGTCTGAATGTAATTGTGTTAGCTACAAAATGTCATTCATTTTGAGGAAACGAAGCATAAGCACATTTTTTCGAGCAAAAATTCCCCCCAAAAAAACAACAACAACGGTTTGAAGTGATATGTAGACAAAAAATATATAGTGGCACTTAATTTTACTTCTTTTCCCCTTTAGATGAAATCCGTCATAACCCCTCCTCCCAGAGCTTTTATATCCAGTCAGCCCTAATATAAGTATAAGTGTTTCTAGTGAGGCGCTTTTGTCTTTGTCAAAAAGTATTCAAAATTTAACTTAAAATCTGAGTGGAAAAAGTGGAAATCAGGGTTAGGCATTATGTCATACATGAGAAAATGGGCTGAGAATAGAAATAATCATTGGCCCAGATGAGGACAGGAATCGTGTTTGGGCTGTTTTTCTGCTGATTAAGGGAGAATACAAGACTTCTTCACCTTACAAATGGTCTTCAAAAGCAAAAATGCCATCAAATGCATAATTTTGTGAGAAAGCGTGACATGTTCAAGCAAAACACACTATTTTTGGAATCTGCGGCTCAAAACGAGTAGGTAACACGTTGGATTTCATTCAAATAAGATGCAGGGTGGTGTTTTGTCCCATGATGCATGTCAGAAAGCATTTCACAGAGTTTTGAAATCTGGTTAGTTTTTATTTCTGGAACCAAAGAAACACGAGCGTAGACACTGGCAACAAAACACATGGATGTTGATTCAGTGGCGTGTGTTTTGACATAAAATGAGCTCTCAAAAGTAAAGCCAATGTAGTCACATTCAAAATTCAGAAGTGAAATCTTTTGTAGGGTTCAGGTGAGGTTGTTTCTGGAGTTCTAGCCACTGTGGTCTCCACCCGTTCTTCGGACCACACAGACCGTCCCAGTGTTTGTACCACAGCGAAAAACTGCACCGTTTCTCTCCCAGCTGACAGACCTCCACTTCTGCACGACATGTTTTAAGTCCTGCTGAGATGCATGAAATCAAACTATAGTGATGACTACTTGATTGTAGTCTGGATTAGTACTGCAATATATTATATGCATGCTGTGCACAGTATGCAAATGTGTAAGCACAGAACCAGGGCCGTCCTTAGGGGGGTGCAACTGAGGCCCCACGGCGAATGGACTCTAAAAGGAGACAACAGCTGATTTGACTTCCGGTTCATTCATCATGCTGGAAATGTAAGCTCAAGTTGAGCTGACAAGATTTCTTAATGATTTTGGAAGTCTCTTCTGCTCACCAAGGCTGCATTGGCTATTTGATCAAAAAAGTAAAAATGGTAACATTGTGAAATATTATTACAATTTAAAATAACTGTTTGCTATGTGAATATATACTAAAATGTAATTTATTCCTGTGATGCAATGTTGAATTTTCAGCATCGTTACTCCAGTCTTCAGTGTCACATGATCCTTCAGAAATATGCTTTTCTGAACACTGTCTTCTAGCTTCCACTCACAAGCTTCCAAAACCTCCCTCTGTCTCTCATTACTCATCTCTATTGTGTTAGTGAAACACGCCGAGACAGTGAAAGTCAAACACGCTCTGAAAACATGACGCTTCTGAAACAGCAGGTACAATAGAGTTAACGAGTGAGCGGAAACTATAATCTGATTATGAAATCAGCTCAAAGGTCCAAAACCCCCAAACACCACATCAACCTCAAACCCACATAAAACGTTCAACAGAAGGGTGATATTTCATAGATAGATAGATAGACAGATAGCTCATAACATTTTTTATCCAATCACTTGTAAGCGTTTTCTCTTTTAGATGTTCTTTGGCAGTAGACCCACTGTGAAGAGCAGCAAGACTTCTGACCAATCAGATTTCTCTAAATAAAAAAAGATTTCCTGAGTTCATCGCTCGCATCCTCTGAGGAAACCGAAGAAACAATGTAGCGCTCTGTGGGCTTCGGCCCATTGTGACATCATCAGTCGGGGACATAGTCGTCATGGGGACGCTGGTCTGAAGAAACGCAACACAGGAAGTTTCCTCACAATGGCCTTTGTAATCTTATCAACTCCACCAAATACACTCAGAGCTTGAGTCACGAGTCTTTTTAAGGTCTGATCCCGAGCGTTTTCTCTGTCTGCTGGGCAGGGATGGGCTGGAAGAGAAGATCCCTGTGGGGTTAATTATTAGTTTGGATCTGACAGCACATTTCCTGCGTCAACTCAGGATAGAAAATATTCAACACCCTCTATTGTTTCACAACATAATGATAACAAATCAGCCACAAGGTCCCTTACTCAAGAACACTGTCGTTCACGTATGCTGATTATCAGTGTCACAGACTGCAAATATGTATCAATCACATCCAAATAAAACAAGACAAATGTGCATCAAAAGTGCTAAGATTTTAAAGGAAATACAGAAAAAAATTTTTGGTGTGTTTTTGTGGTTGTCTGACATTGCACGGCCAAGAAAACGGTTAAAACCATGCCACCACAATCAAAAGAAAGAAATGATATTTTATAATAATAATAATAAAACATGTTATTTCATACAGTGCCTTTAAAGTAGCTTTACACAGTAGTACTTTACACAGAAAACACAGGAATAAAGATACACAACATACAAAGCAAAAACAGTTAAAGCAATCAAGTAAACGCTAACCTAAAAAAGTATGTTTTTAGATTTAGACTTTAAAAGTGCATAAATTCTGTGCATGAAAATGCCCTATCCCCTACAGTTCGCCAGTGTGTTTGTGGAACAGCCAAAAGACTAGTTTGGGAGGAGTGCAAGCAACACTTAGGAGGAGCATATAAAGTTAAAAGGGCAGACAGAGGGGCCAGGCCATGCAATGCCGGAAACTGACTGGAAACCAGTGCAAAGATTTCAAAATTGGGGTGATGTGCTCTTTCTGACTCAAGTCAGGATTCTAGCTGCTGAATTTTACACATATTGTAATTTGTTAAGTGTGGTGTTAGAGACCCCAGCGAGAAGTGCATTGCAGTAGTCTAAGTGAGAAAAAAATATATATATTAATAAGCCTTTCAGTCACAGGAAAAGTCTAGCACTATTTCTGAGATGAAAAAAGGAAGTCTTAACAGTGTGTTGAACGTGTGGATCAAAAGTCAAATTTGAGTCAAATATAATGCCTACATTTTTTAGTTTAGTTTGAAACTCCAAAACAGCCATCTACATTTAATATTTAACATTTTGAGCCATCTGAATTTTTGATCTCAGATATACAGTGTGAGAGAAAAGACATATCCACATTTAGACCAGACTTAGAATGAATATAAATCATCAGCATAAAAGTGATAATTAAGTTGGAGCAATCCAAGTGAAAATATGTGACCCTGAACCACAAAACCAGTCATAAGGGTACATTTTTCGAAATTGAGATTTATACAACATCTGAAAGCTGAATAAATAAGCTTTCCATTGATGTATGGTTTGTTAGGATAGGACAATATTTGGCCGAGATACAACTATTTGAAAATCTGGAATCTGAGGGTGCAAAAAAATCTAAATATTAAGAAAATCGCCTTTAAAGTTGTTCAAATGAAGTTCTTAGCAATGCATGTTACTAATCAAAAATTAAGTTTAATTATATACGGTAGGAAATTTACAAAATATCTTCATGGAACATGATCTTTACTTAATATCCTAATGATTTTTGGCATAAAAGAAAAATCAATAAAAACGATAGGGCCTACAATTGAACCCTGGGGGACACCAGTACGGACAGAGCCAATCTCAGACCTGCAGCCATAAAAACAAATCGGCGGCGATCAGAAAGATAAGATCTAAACCAAGCTAAAACAGTGTCAGAAACACCAAAAACCATTTCAAGACGGTTGTGACTGACTGTATCAAAAGCAGCACTAAAATCAAGAAAAACCAGTCTGAAGGGGCTCGAAGAGATTATTAACAGTAACTGATTGTGCAGCTGCAAAGCCACAACACGTTCTACCATTTTGGCCAGAAAATGAAGATTTGATATAGGGCAATAGTTACTGACATTTTCCAAATCAGTGTTATTCTTTTTTGGAACAGTGGCAGTTTTCAGTGCTGCTGGTACAACACCAGTGCACAAAGAGTCATTTATAATGCTGAAATAGCCAGACAATGAGTTAAAACAAGATTTAAATAAGCTTTTAGGGATGGGATCTAGTTTGGAAGTGGTGACTTTAATACGTGATACAATGTCTACTACTAAGGAATCAAAGTCAATTTGAGAAAAAAATGGGAAAAGATGTCACTGTCATGTTTTCGTAAGTTTCAAGCTTCAACAATGATGCTTAACAAGTTTGCATTC